TAGCCCTATTCAAGTATTCAAGTCAAGAACATAAGAAGTGTGATTGAACATAAAACTCAACTTGGAAAGCTGCTAGAAAGGGCGCTGAACGGCTCCGATGTGGGCGTGGTTGGAAATGGGCCGAGGGGATTAGCAGCCAATTGTTCAACCGCGCCCACTTCGAAGCCGTTTCTTAGCCAGCTTTCCAAGGTAAGTTTTATGTTCATTGACACTTCTTATGTTCTTGACTAGGGCTTAGCGCATTTTCCACACCATTAGTGTTGAAGGTGAAACATCCCTGCTGGGACTGTTGCTAACCTTAACCCTTTGACGACAATGGCACCCACCGGTGGGTGCCACCTTAAAATTTCCTTCTTTGTGCATTTAAAACATTTGTAACACCCCAATAATTATAAGCAAGTTCCATAATATCTATGACTAGCACGACTTACAGAAATGTTTACTAAGAGCTAATTTATATAGAATTTTAGAATGTGCCATTTAGCTCGCCAGCATATTAATTGGGGTTTTAAATTATTAGGCCGAAGATTAATTACTAATCAGGACTTCTTCGTCTTCTCATAGCCCTCAGATATGGGAAGGGGTTTGAAGTGTATCGGAAATTCTCTTGGACACTTAACTTTTAGAGGTTTTGCCCTCCTTCCCTTTGAAACGCGAGTTCCCCGTCCAAATTTGGAATTCTCTTGAAAATAATTTACAGTATGAAAGCCTAGAACTGCAGTTATAACTGGTATACTGTTAGAGTCGAAAATTCTACAGAAAAATTGCTTTGAAGGACAATTTTGCCTAATTGTGAGCGAGAGTTGGGCGCGCCAAAAACAGGCGTGGTCCCACGAGCAAGCTACGTGCAAATCCGCATTGTCGTCAAAGGGTTAATGTCCCACCCAGAGTCAACCCTGCGTTGCGCAGTTTTCAACGGCCACGTTGCGCAGTTTCGCCCGATTAGACACGTTCTCTCGCGCGAACATTCACACTCGCATGCTCGAGCCGTCTGCGTCTCCGCCCATACAGCGTGCGTTGAGGATCTCTCAACGTGCCGTTGCGAACTGCGCAACGCAGGGTTGACTCTGGTCCCACCCTCGCCCTCCTGACCATTCTTCTTGAGGTGGTAAGCTGCTTGACTTTTTCGATGCGCGCCATCAATACTCAATCATAGGGTTTGGTCATTACGATCTTACGGGGTTAGCCTAAAGCTCTTCTAGTACCGCGAAGAAACCGGTCAAACACTCATTTTGTTCTTTCTCTTCCGGTGCAGATTTGGCACTTCATGACCGGAATGCCGAAGTGAGCGCGCGAAATACAAAACACCAGTCGCGAATTGTGTTGAATGAATGATGATCATGTTGAACTTTGTTGAACGAGAACAAAGCTGCGAAAGTTGGTTACGGAGAGATATGGAATTGAGGGCATAGTCATTTCTACTTCAGAATGACAAGTTTATTGTTCCTCTCTCACGAATGTCACGCCATTATTTCGACCATGAGTGCCCTCTCCACTGCATAGCGTGCCTTGCTCCCGCAATGAGTTGGCAAAAGTGTAATAAAAGTAACTCTCCTCAAAACGTGAACATGTGCACAATGCCTTTCTTTGGAAGCATTTGTCGTCAAGTATAATGTTAACTGTGTGAACACGCCGCCAGTGCATTTTGCTTGACGCGCCATCTGGGTTACGATAGTCCTAGCCTAGTGCTGAAGTTACATTCTTGTGAAGGAGTGCGACAGCAATACTTGCTCGGTTGTCTACTACGCTCCGGGATGGAACAAGTGAGCGTGGCTAATCCCGGACCGTGCCTCTAAGACAATCTCCGGGCTATAAGGTGCATAAGAGCGCTTCATAGTGATTTTGAGCCATTGAAAACGCCGAAATCAAGGGCTTCAACTTCCAGCACGTCGGATATAGTACGACAGAGAGACAGAACGACCAGAGAACCATCGGGGATGACAAAACACGCAAACGAGAATGGTGGTCTCTACATTAGCTGCAGTGAGGAGAGGGTTGCTGCGTGGTCGATGGTTGCTTAGTAAGTTCGTAACAATCAGCGCCTTAAGCGTACTATTTGTGCGATGAAGCTGGAACGATCTCTGTAGGTACGGCGACCGCCCAAGACATTCACTTACTCGCTGCTTGGTTCCTCCCAGTGAGCCTGATTCCCTTTGAACAAGCCTCAGCGCAGTTTTAATACAACCTTTCTTCTACTGGACTGGTTCTAAAAATCGGCAGTGGGACTTTACAGAACACTTCACCCTGACGAAAAAAATTTATTAGAATCGTATCTGATTGCATTAATCAATATCATGTGAGGGTTTGAGGATGTGAAATGCTACGTCGTTGCTGGAATCGAATATTGATCGCTTCTCAAATTGGGCAAAGGTGATGCTCAATGAGTTCATTATCAAAACGGAATTCGGCAGAAATCAGTGACGATCGATACGTCGATTCCCTTTAAAGCATTTTCTAATCCTAGCTAATACTGCTCTAATACTTACAAAAACAACACAATTCAAGGCAAACAAAATACAAGTTAGAATCTGAATCTGAGCCTTTATACAATGACGAGCTTCTATTTTGGCAACTAGCGATACCTCGGGGCCAAATAAAACGCCCTAAAAATTTGCGTACGCTGCAGGCGCTAAGGCGCAAAAAGCCAGTATCAATTCGCGTCCTTCTAAGCCACATTTCTTAAAATTATGCATCAAACATCGTATTCACCGTGGTCCTGCATGGAATTCTGTGAATCGCCGACAAAAACTAAACACGGAGGGGTTTTCCCAAATATATCAAACTTCTGACCGAAAATATACAGTTGTCATGTCAAAAGATCCAGGCGTAGTGGGAACTAGCATATCTACTTTGACATGAATTCTTTGCGGATTTCTGACCCACGAGGTGGTATCGATCGATTCTTAAGAAGACCTAATTCGCAGATGCATCGGTATTGATCGGGAATCTCCAACAGCGACTGTACAGCCAACTTCACATCACCCTCAGATTGTCCAGACGCTCGTCGCATTATCTGAAAACGAAGGTTTATATGGAATCCGATGGAAATGTCATTAAGAATACTGTGCTTCATCATCAAACCAGCGATCAATTTTTGCAGAATGTGATGTGCCCGGCTGAGATGCGCGCGGCCGCGTTGCAGCGAGTCAGCTGTGCATCAAATGAGCCCACTCAATTATGCTGTTAAAAACATTACGACAGGGTCAAAAAAGCCAACCTCGTGGAATTCTGTGAAGTGGAAGTTGTCCCATGGACGCTTGGGCAAAGACTCGTCAAACACCTAAATAATTTTGATTTTTGCATTTTATAGTACTAGCTGTAGTTCCAGAAACTTACTCTCATCATTTCCCACGGGCCATCTCCGACACCAACGACAATAATCGATAACGGGTACTGGCAAGCCTGTACGATGGCGCGTCGCGTGGCACGTTCATTGGTCACTTGGCCGTCAGCGATGATCACCAGAATGTGGTACTGTAACTTGTAAGAGGTAAAGGAGTAAAGACCTTGGGCAAATCTGTGAGAACTCACATCATTCGCTTTTTGGACAAATCTCCATCGCTTGATAGATTAGCGGTGCAAAATTCGTCGGACCACTCAGATTGACACTGGGTGTGACTTCGTTGTAAATTCTGAAAATGATGATGATCTGTCGGTAAGATTCTGCGGAAGTGGGTTTTCAACCGGAGCTCTCGCAGAAGCCCCTTACCAAGTGGGCTAAAGGGGAGATAGAGAGATTTTTTCTGATATTTTGCCTTCACTCTCACTCATACAGTTAATACAGAAAAAATAAAAGAATAAGGAGGATGTTTGTCACTGAACAGTTTTGCTTTACTCTTTTGACTAGTACTTTCAGCCGCTGTTTGGTAAAGGTTCAAGGCAGAGAGCACGATAGCTGGGCGTGGTGGAACGGTTTTGATGGCTTAGCTTCATTGGTGGTGAGTGTTGGAATGTAGTCGCAGTCACCCCCTCCCCCGCAATCGCCTCCCCCTCCCTTTCCAGCATTCGGAGGGGTCTTGGCCAAAAAATAGGGCAACCAAGTAACGTCATCACAACAGCTCCATCATAAAAAAATTGTATTTATTGCCTTAGAAGCGGATGGTACCAGAAACATTGCCCAGTGTAGCTGAAAGTAGCTGCACTTTTTGTACACTGCGTCAACAAAAAATCCGGAGGGTATAAAACCGACTTGAGAGCCGAAAATGGGACCAGTTTTTTTTTTCACAATTTCTGCTTTGGACGGAACCAGTGACCAAGATGAGCTTGTTTGCACGTGCTAATCTCGAGCGGTCCGGGGATCAAATCCTGGGTCGTGAGTCGCCCGGGCCAACCAAGCCTTCCATCCCGGGTCGGTTAATTGGTACCAGACTTGTCTGGGAGGATAAAAACACTGACTTGTACATCGGCTGGCCCCCGCAAGTCATTGTATAGGCCACATCGCATTCAAACGCCACTACGAATGTACAAATGGAAGTAGAATGCGTGCCGCATCCCAAAAGGGATTGATCAACGGCAAATGCTTTATCCTTTTTTTAAATCTCTACAGCCGGTGTCATACCAATAAACATCATTATTGCATTGATAACGCGTCGCGTAGAAAACTAAAAGATGTGGCTATTCTGTGCGAAATGTCCTTTCAAAATGAAGATGGGCGGAGGAAGCAGGCCGACACCGCGGGCAGGCGAGCACCAGCAGGTTGTGCTTTGAGGCGGATGTCCTTTACTTTACGAATGAGCGCTGCAGTATAAAAGATGAAGCTTTTTGCGCGATCGTCCCGTCTTGGGGAATGCGACTTACAGTTCGTAACTTCCATTTGTTACATTCGTGGTGGCGTATATGGATGCGATATGGCTTGCAAATGGCTGTGGGGACAGCGAGACAACTCAGTGTTTTTATCCTCCCAGACAAGTCTGGTACCAATTAACCGACCCCGGAGGGATGGAAGGCTTGGTTGGCCCGGGCGACTCACGACCCAGGATTTGATCCCCGGACCGCTCGCGTGGTAAGCGCGCCACTTGTCACTACACCACTTCCGCCCATGAGCGCCTTTGGCTAAAGTAGCGAATTGCTCGAATGGAAACATCTGCAACCGGCTTCAGCACGCCGGTGATTGGCGGCGTTCTTCCAGGAATGCAGTCTCTATCGTGTCTTCGGGTACGCCGTCCCTTTTGCAGTAATTTTCTTTTTCTACAATATATCCCGTTTATCGTAGCAACCTTCTTTAAACTTTCACAGCGCAGATGATGCTAATATGACTTGGATTCCGAACAGCGGTAAAGAACAGCAGTCAATAGAGCGAAACGTGGCAGAAATCGGTGTGGGCGTGTCGAAATGGAGCAGACTTAATCGCCTTTGTGGAATCCGAGGAAAGTGATTGTGCAAGATTGCACTGAGGATTCACTAGGACTGACTGTTGCCTATGCTTAATGGCTCGTCTGCTGACTACCATCCTACGCGATTTTCGCTGTTCAAGACATGTTTTTGTACACTGATTGCTCTCTACTTATGGTTACTATCTGCAAATGATGAAAGGACATTCGCTTCAGAACTAGTGAATATCGTAAACGATTAAACAGAGGCATAGTAGTGAGCAGACTTACTTCAGCACTTCTTCGAGAGTTCTACAGTCCCCGTTCTGCTTGAGCGGAAACACACTCCAGTCACCAGTTTTCGCATCACCGAACCCGTACACGGGAATACAACCGGTGCTAGCGAACGGCGCCAACGTTCGTCCGAGAATCGTAATTACCTGAACAACACTCGTATGAAAATTAGACCATGTTCAGAATTCATCGACCATTTCAACATATTGACGACTTGTTCCCTTCTTGTTTTCCGCATCTTTTTTTATAGTTCTTTATCGATAGCCATTACTTCTTTACTGGTTATAATCCCAGTTGATATAATGCCTTACAGATCCAAAAAAGAAGTGGAAAGCTTCGGAGCATGAATGCCGCAAGTTGAATCGACAAGAGCCTTCTAATGCGAAAGTTGGACCATATATTGCCCGTGAATTCGGGTCAAAATCATGATTCTCAATGATTCAAATAAATTTATTGGACTACTTGAGGCGATCCCAAGTGGCAATGAACAATTGGACTGTATCAGCTCAGTCCACGAGAATTACCTGTGAGACCATTCTTTACCCACTGCTGCAAACAGATCTGCTAGAGACGCTCCAAGGCAGAGGTCGCGATGGTTAGTGACAGAGCATCTGAGGAGGCTGGGGATTTCATGTCGAAATCGAGCCTTTTCACCGAGAAAGAAATTTGGTGGTTCGCTAGCGGGGAGCGTGTACACAAACGTCAAGTTGATTTCACAAGCCCGTTGCGCTGATTGTAAGGCCTTAGAATGCAGCATTTCCTTCCACAACACCATTAGCTCTACCCACAAATCCTAAATTGAAAAAAGGGACTTTATTTTTGCCTCTGTCGACGATTCCTCCCATTTTTCGTCACTGAGCCACACTTCACATCTCCACTGTCGGTTACAAGCGCAATGACAGAATAGTTTGATCCAGGAATTTGCCTCGATGGTGCCAACCGCACCTCTAGCGTGCTGAGGGACCTTGTCCCGAATGATTTTCAGTGAGTTCACCACAATCGCATTGCCTTCCGGCCATTGTGATCACTGTCTATAAGGGGATGGGGTAAAAGAAATAGGTCAAGTATGACCGTGTTGGGGCAGTCGGCCCCCAAATGACTTCGTGCTCACAATTCTTGCTCTCTCATTACAAGTTTGCTCGAGTATGAGAAGACTGTGGAGACGCCTTCGAAGATGTGCGGCTTCGAGGCTTGACGCCCTAAATTTCAGGACGGACATTCAATAATGTTGGATCCATGGTTGGACGTAATCATGAAGGCTCTGCCAAATAATATGAGAGAATATGCATGTCCTTGTGCTAGAATAACCCATTGCTCTTCTAGGCATAAGAAGTGACGAATCGTAACCCTCGTTCATGAAATTCACAATAATCGACAGGGCCAATAAGATTCAACGACGTCGTTGCGTTATCGTTGAATCACTTCTTTCGGATCTTCGACAAGAAGTAATTCTCTCTACAGTTCGCTATTCACAATTATGGAGAAGATCCACTCTTGGGCCTAATCAGGACGACTGCGTAGAAAAGTCTTGTCAGTGGGTAGGATAGAGCTGCTCGGAAAGGCCCTAGATCCCCCTTTTCTCGACTCTGGAGTGCGCATCGAGGGCGTCAGTGCTTTGAGATGCTTGCTTTGACCGCTTCCATTTTTGCTCATCCGTAGCGTGCTGGTAACTGGCGCTCTCACTCCATTGTGCTCTCTTGCCCATCTTCTCTCTTCCGAGCTCGCCGTCAGTTCCTCATTTCTTTAGCAAGCTCTTTTTCTTTTTTGTTTACTCTCAGTCCACTTCGCAACAACACTTCAGTTTCGTGCACGAAAAGCACACTAGTTTAAGACGTGCCTTTCCAGGCAAGCTCCGGCATTGGGCTTTCTAGTAGGAAGCATGTCGCAAGTGAGATCATCAAACCCATCATCAAATACAGAAGTCGTACCCGGTTGAGGTGCTGTTAGAAAGGGACCTGCAAACTCGCCCCGCACCATGGAGCCCTCCCGCCCATTGCAATTGTTCAAGGAATCGACGATAACGGCCGCGGTACACAATGTGAATTCGACGCCAAGGCTAATAG